GGCTACCCCAGGGATCTGGTGCCTTTGGACGTGTGTAGTGTGCTCATGACGGATGGGCTTGGTTCAGAGGGCCCGAGGTCCTTTCTGAAATCAAGTCCGTCACATGAGAATGTTCTGTCTGGATCGGAGAGTGAGTATAAAAAGGCTCCGAGCGTGTAGAGCTCTGGGAGTCCACCCACCTCTCCAGTGACGTTGATATTTTAGCACTTTTCTGTCACTTAACGTGCATTCTGTTTCCATTTTGTACGTACGTCTCTTGAATTTGCAGACAAAAATTAAGTGCGGTGCTTTAATCATAATTCCAAAATAAAGAGAAAGTGTTCATATCATTATTGCATTTTATAACGGAACAGAAGAAGAAATTAATTTGTTCCACAGGTTCTTGAAGTCACTCCTGCAGTACACGGAGAACCTGGCGGCTCACACCAGCCCGGAAAAGAACAAGTGGGTGGAAACAGTTGGCCTCACGCACGCGGCCCTGCTGAAAATGCGGGCTTTTAGCGAGAAGGAACAAATGTTAATGCATTTAGCCAAGAAACCCACAAGCGAAGCGGCGCTGTGGAAATACGGGTCAGATACTTCTGGTCACGTCAGAAAACCCCTCTCGAACCTCGCACTGAGCAGCGCGTGAGCCGGAAACGCAGAGGCGGGAACCCGGGGCCGGTCCGCGTCCGCGCTCCGTCTCGCCGCGATTTCTGATTTGCTCTTTGTGAGCCGGTGGAGTGAGCCGCAGGCGGATCCCTTCTAGCTGGGTGGCGACAGCAGACTCGGTCCCCTGTCCCTGTCGCATCCTGTTCAGAGGAGGTGTCCTCGGTGCACCACACTGGGACACGTCCACATGCATGGTGCCGTGTCTTCGGTCATCACACCAGGGGACATGCTTGGTGAACCTGTTTTGGTGAGGTGAAGCTTGATCCCTTGGCGAAGGTGGATGGCTCCAGATTTCTTCATTATAAGGACGTTTACTTGTTATTAATAACATGTGGGAAGTTACTTTGAACCCTTGTGAATATTTTTTCCCAGTAGTTCTTCCATTTTTCAGTATCCCTTGATGAATCCTGCCTGGACCAGTATTGGCAGATGTCAGCTGTGGTACTTTTTGCCACGTCTTCACATTCATTATGTCATTTTTCTCTAATAAAGAGCTATCCTTTCTGGCTGTACTTAGCACATTAAATGGTGTGTTTCAGGCCCATAAAGTCCTTGCAGTTCAGCGCATCTGATGAGCATGTGTGGCGTGGCGCGGGCGAGGCGGGTCTATAGGACACAGTGGGCCCCTGGCTGGCTTTCTGCCGACCCTCCGCGAAGGGGAACCGTCTGAAAAGCACATCCAAACTCACGTCAGCTCAAGGGTGTTTGCCGAGCATGCTGCAAGCCAGGGACGAAGAGGAGGAAGGGCCCACCTGGCCTCTCCACACGGCAGGGTCTGGTCAGTTCTACAAAAGACAGTAACTGGGACAAGGACAGGAGATTGAGCACACACAAGGGACTGCCTGAACAGTTCTGAAAACACACTTGTCACCAGAGAGTCCACTTAAGTGTGTGGGTCTGCCCTAAATGCAGCAGGCAGCTTGCCTCATCCCTGTCCCTGTCACTTAGCTCCAGCCAAGTGGGCAATGAGCCCTGAGACCCCACCACACGCCTCTCTGCCCTTTGGGCACGGCGACTGGGCCAGTGGTGGACGACACCTGGGGAGCCTGTGCAGACGCTGGCCAGCCATGTGAGAGTTCTAGAAAGGATGAGCTGGCCAGTGTGGCTCCTTTTGGAATTGAGATTCTCAGGAGCAGAGCCGCCCACGGGTAGACGATGCCCCAGGGCCAGGCGGGCCGATCAGTGGCGCTTGGCACTGAGTGCTGAGTGAGGGAAGAGACACGTGATGAGGATAAAGACAAACAGCAGCTGAGCCTCAAGCTGCCTCGGCGCTCAGCGTTCCTGAGACCGGTCAGTCTCCCGGGTCCCCGGGTGGGGGTGTCCTTTCAGCCGGCCCTTGAGTGCCCCTCTGCTGCCTGCAAGCAGCCAGCCCCAGGGGGAGACGACCATGCTGGCCACCAAGACACAGCCAAGCCTGGGAGAGGTGCCACAGGCTGAAGGTCGCAGGTCGGGCGCTGGGCACACCGCGACTGAGGTCGTGGCTCCGCAGCTGATGCAGTGTCGTGAGCAGGCTGCACGGTCCTTGCACCTGGAGCATCCTTGCCGGGAAGGTGTCTAATACCCTCCCTCCCTGTTCTGACCGAGGTGAGGTCGGGCGAGGCCACGCAGCATGAGTAGGTGTCGCGGACCTTGCTGTTGGCCAGGAGGAGAGTTTGGACTCGCTCCGTGTAAAAGTTAGGCTCTCTGCATGTCCCGAGAACGTTCTCTCCCGAAGCAAGCAGCCAGGGCCCTGTGTGCACCTTCCCCTCCTCACCCAAGCCACTGCAGGGCTCCAGGTGACCCGGCCGAGGGGACAGCTGCCACACCCAGGCCTCTCCCTCATGCCAGAGCGACAATGGCTTTCCGGACGAGAAACGCCCTTTGAACTGCGACTTGGAATGATTCTGGTGTCTGTCTGTCCCCGTGCCCCTCACGCGGGCATCGTGCTGTCAGCCGACAGACACGCGAGGAAGGGGTGTCAGTGGACATGCCGGCCACGAGGCCGCACGTTCTGTACCGCAGACCGGTGGGGCCCCAGCGGGCCGTTTGCCCGGGGGGCCTGTCGACACCTTGCGCCCGTCCG